AGCTACACATAAAGCACTAGCATTAATTCTACTCATTTTTTAAAGTCTCTATGGATAGATTAATTTAATATTGTACAAGTTGTGTTTATTCGCATCTTTACTGAGTGTATTTATATAACATAGGGTTATTTTGTTCCTGTGCCTCTTATATATACCTTTTGAAGGCCGAAAAAACCGTTAACAGCAAGGATACCCAACTGATGACCTAAGACTGGTTGTAGAAGCTCTTTGTGGGTTGCCTGTCACTCATATCTAAAACTTATTATTATTCATTGTAGTTTCTATTGGAGAATTTCAACAGCTCTTCTGGTAGACGTAGTCGCATAATTACGTAAATCTATATATATTCAACTCATGCAAAAGCTATTAATTTAAATTTCCATGTTACATTTTTGTTACAACTAAAGATGATTACACAAAGCAGTATGTAATGATGCGAAAAACATCTGGGATTTAGTTTAGATATTTACTGAGGTAAAAGTTAACATATTAGATTCGCTCAAAAAATTTCACAATTTTTCGTTTGGCTGCCCCCACCACTTTTGTAATCTTTACGGCGCCACTGCAAGAAACATTAACAATTACATAATAACTTCTTCAAAAGAGCTGTTAAAAATTCTACAATAATAATTGCAATTAATAATAAATATTCATAATTATGACTAACAGCCAAATTATAAAAAGATAGGTCGTCAGTTGGACCCGAACTGCTAGCATTGTGTTTTAACAAAAAAAATTCTCTTCTATTGATGGATGTGCGTGTTTAGCTGTCTGAAACATGTTAAAACTTTAATGTCAAGTGATGTACGTCTATTGATATATTACTTGCATTAAAATCCTTCTTGCATACAAAAATGTTGCACAGTTATTTAATATTACATATTGGATTTTTTGTTAGTTTTCAAGCGCAAAGCAACAGATTTGGGCTATCGAACTCCGATTTTTAGCGATATAATATCTCAGACTTACCGCTGAGCCACTGGGAGTTTATATAATTGACCAAAAATTATTGGAGTCAAGCGCCTCTGTCGGGAAGTTGGATCATAATATTCACATATATTTCTGTATGAATTTGTAGTTCGGCAATGGAACGAGTATTAACGATGAAAACTAGCTATTTAAAAGTAGTTTAACTTTCAAATTTTAGAGTTCAGGATATAGTAAAATTTATAACCTCTTTTTACATACTTAATATACACATATATGTAGATATATATATCATATGTATAAATTACTGATGAGCTGGTAAGTGTACCTGTTAAATAGTGCTGAGCTTGATACTAATAATACTACTCCTAAGTTTTAGTACTACTTAATACTAGTAGCAGCAGTATATTATTAATAATAATATGACTAATTATTGGTAATAATAGTGCTACTGTACAGTGTACGAACGTTCTAAAAAGTGTTTACTTAGAAGTTAGACCTAAACTGGAGTAGTCATTGTTCTGTATTATGTATATCATATGTTAGTGTTACTCATTAGCTTAGTATATTTAATTTTCAACTTAACCAGCTTAAGTCGTTAAACGTAAAATCAATATTTTCGCATCAGTACACTTGTTTTGTTAATTTAATCTGGTATTTTACGATTAGCAAATTAAACCATTTATTGTCGAATTTACTTTCTACAAAATTCTAGGCCTACAGACTACAGTCACTAGACTATACTAGAATTAAAATTATATAAAATACATTATTGTCAATGTCAGTTCAAAACATTATAAATATAAGCTTTTAGTTTTTAAACTAGTGGTGCATTAATATTGGAATATTGTTTTGAGATCATTAATTCTAACTTTTTTTTAATTTATAAAAATTAGAAAATGTTATAATTTTTATAATAACTTAAATTGTAGGTAAAATAAATGTAACTTATATAAAAAGTGCTATACTCTTCAAGACTAGAAACTATGCATAAGTTTTCAATTTAAAGAAACATTTGCACATTTCATGAGCTTGGTTGTATTCACATACCAATTGCCAAAAGTTTTTGTAAATCCAGATAGAGTATATCATTCAAACAATTTCTCCACAGCATCTCTAATTTTGTTTATGCATTGTGAATTTTATGATATCAGTATTTTAGTTTTTTTATCTGCATATATTTCATAAAAATTTCATGTGTTAATCCACATTTGTCTCATACTTATTAAGTGTAATTTTATTCCATTTAGAAACATGGAATGCTTATCAAGTTAACATGTATAAAAATTTGTATTTGTGGTCAGGAAAAACAGCTTTGTTACATCTGTTTTCAGTGGTTAAGTTGGGTCAGAATAGCATTTTGTCTCTTATCTATTTGGGCCATTAGTGGTCCAGGTTCTTTGATGGATAGAAAAAAAAAGTACCAACTTCAATTAATGAGCAACCAATTGTAGAAAATTTACAGCAGAGTTTAAATGCTACAAGTGTGTGTGGGAATTTTATTGTCATATGGTAATATAAAAACTGTAGATTTGCTGCAAAAAGTTAGATAGGGGAGTCTAAAACTTCTCTCCAAGACACTTGTTACTGCAAAAATGTATCACATATGGGAGTTTTTTTTTTCTCCTTCAAAATCCCAATTTAACCACTGTGTCTGTTTGAAATAAGCCTAATGTTTTTGAAAGTTGAGTTAGTGTCAGGAAATGCAGCTATGTTTGAAATACACCTAATGTTATTAAAAGCTAGTAAATTATACCAAAATTGAAAATTCAACTTTTAAAGCTATTGTTATAACTTACACAAATCCATTTAAATTGAAACTTTTATGTGTGTCAAGACCTTTAACAACTGTTCCATGTCAGTTCAGGATTAAAAAAAAAGCATTTCTCCAGTCATGTTTCTTATCCTGAAACCATGATATCACTCCACAATTTTAACTTTTCTCAGGCATTGTATCAAATGTGGCATAATCATTTGTTAATATGCAAATTTACATCCACTACGTACGTTCAGAATCTAGACATTTGTTTGAATGATGTAACAATACTTATGAAACTGAAACATTTCTAATCCTCTCAGTTCAAGTTAGATCCAGTATACTTTCCACAGATCAGAATATTTTTGAATTATGATACAGCTTTGTTGCTTACATTTTAGGAACTCGTTAATAAAGCATCCAAAACTAAATGCTAAATCAATATTGAATGGCTTAAGTTTTGAATAGCAGATACATGTACAAAGTTAATTTTTTTTTATTTCAGCAGACGTAATGAAGAAAGAAAGGACTTGGAAAAAAAGTTTGAGATTATTTTGAAACTATACTGATGCACTGTTGAGAAATCAGTTGGGAAAAGGAACTAGAATCTCTATATTTATTTTTATTTGTTATCAGGAGTTGGGAAAAGGAACTAGAATCTCTATAATTATTTTTATTTGTTATCAGGAGTCATGTATGATGATAATCCCTTATCTCTTCAAGAATATTGTGTTAACTTCATCAGTGAAAACATTGATGCCATCTGCGAGGTCCAGACCAACTTAGATGACAATACCTCCAGGTATGTTTTTAAGGCACAGGATACATTTTGTCCCAGCAAGGTGTCTGAGCAACTTCTTGAAACACTTGATCAGAGAGGATTTCTAACTGATGATCTGCTCACCCTGTTTACCTCCAGCGTAACACGACTTGAACACGTTCACATTCACAATTCTCCAAGCATCACTACTAAAGGCTTACGGGTGCTACGCTCTCACAAAATTACGGAACTAGAAGCAACTGGTTTAATGAAAGTAACTGTAAATAACTTGATTGGCTGCCTTGGGGATTGGAGTCTCAGACATTTACGTTTACTGAATGTAGCTAATAGTATATTTACCAGTAGTGGAAAGATCTGTGTTGTTGTTGCTCTGTCAAAATTAAAAAATCTGCTCACTTTAAACGTAAGTAACACAGAGTTTAATAGTCATGGACTGGAAATTGTGACAGAAGACTTGCAGCTGTTAGAAAACTTAGATATCTCTAATACAAAAGTTGAGGACATAACCCCTCTACGGAGATGTAAAGATAGACTGAAGTCTTTGGCTATGTACAATTTAAAGAAAATTAGCAGTAATGAGGTAGTTTCAGTGTTGAGTGAGCTGAACAAGTTGCGTTATCTAGATATTTCAGAAGATAAAGACCACCAAGCCCTGGACATGCAAGATCCTTTGAAGTATAGAGTGTCTGAACTTTTACATCAGACAGAATCTCTCCCACATATAACGTCACTAGATATTTCAGGGAAAGAAGGCATTTACATTGATGATCTGAGGTAGGATAATTTCTAAGAAGAGCAAGATAAATATTTAATAATTTGAAGCATAAAGTGGTAGATCTGTTACATGAAACAAACTTTCTCTTACACATCATGTCACTAGGTATTTGAAAGAGGAAGATTCATTGATGACAAGTTTCCAGGTGCATATTAGTGGATTTCTTTATAATTGTTATTGGATAGACTTTTCACCAATGAGCCACGAAGATGCCATACTTTTGCAAATTTATACAAAGCCTAATAAGAGCTCACTTCTGCTTGTTATTGTAGAAATACTAGAATTTTCATAGCTTACAAATGCAGGAGTCTTTTCTGTTTGTCAAAGAAGATGGTTTATGTAATTTTGATGATATCATCATGAGTATTTTAATTTCACTGAAAGGGGTCCAAATGCTGTCTGGAAGGGTCACCTGTTTTAACCACTCACACCACTATACAGAAGTGTGTTGTCTGTAAGGGACGCTTAACATTACAATTTGTACTGTTGTTATGTCGGTAAAATGTGCACATGCCATGAATCACAAGAAGAATTATTCACTCTGTATGCTGCAATTTAGCATGACAAATGAGCTTCAAAAGCAAGAAATAAAAATATGTTACTCTTAATTTTGGTTTTATTTACTTTTGAAACAGAACACTTTCATGGACCCTGTTGAAGTACATCTAGTTTCAGAAACTGGTTTATGTAATTTTGATGATGTTATTAACAAAGAGTATTTTAATTGAGAGTTGCAAATTGAAGCTTGCATAGCTACAGAAATTTGACGCTTATCCGTAAGGATCTGACATAATTTGAAAACATCGAAAGAGGCTTTGTATTATCACTTATTTCTTGTTATTGTTACATTCAAGTTGATGTTGTGGAGGTCTGAGAACTAACCTAACATTTACTTTGTAAGCAATGTTGCTGTTATGTGGTAATGATTAGGTAAAAACTAAAAATTTATATTACTGCATATTGTCTTAGTCAAGTCTGTTAGGTCATCATTGAGGACACTAGTTTTTTATGCTTTAAAAAGAACTGATTTCAAGTAAGAGTCCCCATATTGTAGAACCTTGAGGACAAAAGAACTGGTTTCAAGTAAGTATCCCCATATTGTAGAACCTTGAGGACAAAAGAACTGGTTTCAAGTAAGTATCCCCATATTGTAGAACCTTGAAGACAAAAGAACTGGTCTCAACTAAGTATCCCCATACTGTAGAACTAGAGGACAAAAGAACTGATTTCAAGTACGTATCCCCATACTGTAGAACTAGAGTATGAAAGAACTGGTCTCAAGTAAGTATCCCCATATTGTAGAACCTAGAGAACAAAAGAACTGGTCTCAAGTAGGTATCCCCATATTGTAGAACCTAGAGGACAAAAGAACTGGTCTCAAGTAAGTATACCCATATTGTAGAACCTAGAGAAGAAAAGAACTGGTCTCAAGTAAGTATCCCCAAATTGTAGAACCTAGAGGACAAAAGAACTGGTCTCAAGTAAGTATTCCCATATTGTAGAACTAGAGGATAAAAGAAATGTATGATTTAATTTAGTAAAGTTAAAATATTTCTAAAATGTAAGATCTCTTTAACATGAAAAATGAAAGTTTGTTATTTACAGATATGTAACTTTGGTTTAAACTTTTTTTTTATTATGATTTGATATTTCGTTTTATATATCCTTATTTTATTATGAATTTAATTATCTTTATGATACACTTACTTGAATCTATGAATAATTTATGATGTATTTGTAATTCTAGAAACAGTGTGTATGTTCTTTTGAATGAGAAATATTTTAAGTCAATTATAAGGACCATAAGTGGCAGTTTTTTAATTATATAATTGTATTTTTTGATTTATTGACAGTGATATTTGAGGTTTACTTGAATATGTCTAAATTAATTTTGGATTTAAAAATGTATTTTGTAAAAACAAAAAATTGAATTCAAAATGTTTATCAAATGTGTTAAGCCTTGTGTGTTTAACCCAATTTTCAATTTGCTGATGTGTGTGTTATCTATAGCTTGATTTACAGAAATATGATTACTGGAATGTTATTGTGACCATGTTTCTGATTTCCTTTTTGAACTGGTCAGCTATAGTTTATTTATTTATTCAGTGTATTTTTACTGAAACTCATGAAATATAAGGAATACTGATTAGCTTATCATGTCACCTGCTCTACATTAAAACTCGTTTTCTTCAGGGCATTTCTTCGGTCACATCCCAAGATGGCTTTCTTGGATTAGTACAAACTGATGTTTGCTTTGATGACATGTTTACAAGAGAAAGCTCAGAAATGTATAATCCAAATTTAGTGGTAAGTTCATAAGAACTGACATGTAATACAATAAGAGGTTAATATAAAACAGATGTTAAATAACACAGCCAAATCTTGAAAATTAAACACCCAGAATTTTCATTAAATAACCAAACCTTTTATTGTTTATTATTAAATAAAAGTAACTCTAATCTACTTTTGTTATTTTCTAAAATTAAAGTTAATAATCATGCAACATCTGCCATTATAAAAATCCCATAATCATAATTTTTGTGGGTAACCATTTTGTAGGGGTTAATCATATTAAAACTAAAATTGTTCACATGTGATTTGGGTTTTTGCTGTGCTATCTATGGTACTTTTAGTCATTATAATCAAATTCAGAAATGCTACCTACTTCTTCACCACAAAGAGCTGTTACCTCATGCATACTGCAACATAAATTTCTGCAAATGCCACAAGCCTTGAACACCCCTACACCTATTACTGTGTATTATGTCAGCCTATGATGCAATCATCAGTAGACTATCACCCTCCATCATGCAATACATCCTCCATGTGCATTAATCCACATGAGTACCAGCATTTGAACTTAGATTCATTCTTTCCTTGGCACTGTTTGTCCTTAGATGTAGTCTTTTTCTCCTTAATTTTCTTGATTATATGAATGAATGATACCAGATTTTAAGTTTATCAGTTAGAACTTTCATTCAAACTACCATCAGCTTGGTCTTCTTTTATTTGACTTTTTTTGCACTTTTGGGAATCATATCCCATTGTCTATTCCTGTTGTTTAATCCAACATATAGGTTTTTTCCAGTCCTCTTCAAGATCATCATTAGGTCTACACACCATCAACATACTTGGATCATCTTCTTTCTAAATTAAAAAGAAACAAAAAAAATCTGTGTTCGCCATATTGCACAAAAATGGACCACCACAACAACATCAGTTTTATATATTAAATGAATTATGCATTTACGTTTCCATTTTTCTGACATCTTTGAGGGTTTTCATACCCCTTCACAGGAGCCATCCAATAAAGTAATTGCAACTGGAGACACTCTGACAGTCATTGATATTACTGTCATTGTGCAAAATGTAGTTGGTTCCAATATGATTTTGTATTCAGGATTTCCCACCTTTTGTTACTTCAGCTGAGCCTGCTCCATCTTGTATATGTTTCACCATTGTTGTTTCCATGCCTACTTTTGCTTCTAGTTCCCTCTTCATGATGTGGATCAGGTGGTCCCACTTTTGTCCTTCACTGTTTGGATTCCACAGGTATGTGTTTTTGTTTTCTATTTCCTTAGTGATTTTTTGCTAATTCTCGGGCTCCCTTGCTACATGTGTTTCCTTCACTTGAATCCTTTAGTTTAGGGATCTCTGCTTTTCCATCTCTCCAGCTACTCATCTTTATCTCTTACTCAACGTTGTTGTTCATTCTTGTATTTCACTTTCATTTGGAGGCTTTCCATCATGATTCTATCAGCTTTACTGAAACAACTTGCATATACCCATTCTCCATCTAGCCCTTGGTTTTCTTCCATTTTGTTTCACTTACTTTGGTTTCTTTATATTCTGGTGTGTACTTTGTCAGGTTGCCTTACTTTCTGACTTTTGCCTCCCTCAATCTCCTCCCCAGGACCACTGTCTTGTATCTTTTTTTATTGTGATTTGTTGTTTTTGGGGTATTTCTTATACATTGACATCTTGAGCTGATGTAGCTCTTCAGCAAATCATCTCTGCTCACTTTGGTTTCTTGCCTTTAGAACCAAGGAGTCCCACCAGGTTTCTCATCATATACACCCTTGTGGGGTTTCCCCCTTCTGTTCTTTGTTCTATGGTTAATCTTACTCAGGCTTGCATTTTTAAGCTCTCCAAGGCTCAGAAGTCAATCTGTGGTCTCCTTCTACTTACCTACATGGGTTTTGGTGGTAAGTTGTGTTGACTTTGTGCTTGATTACAATCAATCCTACAGTCATACCCTTCCACTGCCTATCATCTGTTAGGGTGCAGTTCTGGGTGCCTGTTCTATTTTTGACATCTGGAGACAAAGTTTCCCTATCTCTACATTCTTGAGTGGGTGGCTAATTTATAGGCTTGCCATTATCTTCTATCTTCTCTGTCTGGTCATCTTACCATGATCCATTCAGACACCTTCTCTTTTGTCCACTTGCTTCCAAGACCATGGTGACAATTTGACTATTTTGCCTAGGCCTAGACTACTCTAACAGACTTGTTTATCCATTATCTGGTGTTTTTAGGGGATTTACTCCCACTATGGACATCCTATAATCACTGCCGTTTTCTTCCTCTTCTGTGCTGCAGGAGCCTTCACTCACTTTTGTCTTGGCCTCCTCCTATACTATTTACTATATGGACAGGTTCATCTTCTTCCCTGACCATCCCAAAATTTGGATGGATTGGTTGTTTTCTCCATTCATCTTATCCTCCCTTATCTTTCCTCCGTGAATGGCCTTTCTGACAAGGTCATATCCTTTCTTCTGTATGGTCTATTGATTATTATCTCACTTGTGCTAACTTTTTTGTAGGGCACTTGCTAACATATTGTCATAGGATTTTCCTTCCTCTAATAACTTTCATCCCATCATGTCTGTATTCTCACAGCTTCTCTAGTCATCAATGCCCCATCCCCCATCATATTTGTAATCTAACACCTTCTCTTGCATCTATTCATCAATGTCTCCTGCCTCCCATCATATCTATAATCTGACAGCTTCTTTTGCCTCTAGTCATCAGTGCCCCCTGTCTCCCATCATGTTTGTAATCTAACGACTCCTCTTGCCTCTATTCATCAATGTCCCCTGCCTCTCATCATATCTGTAACCTCACAGCTTCTCTTGCCTCTAGCTCATCAATGTATTGTTTTTTCTCCCATTATGTCTGTAATCTCACAGCTTCTCGTCTCTTGTCATGTGTCTTGTTTTTCTCCCATTATGTCTGTAACCTCACAGCTTTTCTTGCCTCTAGTCATCAATGTCTCATTTTTATCCCTTCATATCTCTAATCTCACAGCTTCTTTTGCCCCCAGTCATAAACATCCTGTGTGATATCTTGCAGGTAGAGATGTGGACAACCCCAAACACATTACTTACACTGCAAAGAGGTTCTACCTACCCTCATTTTATTCTTCCTTTAGTTACCAATATCCAATCTTCACAGTGATTCTGATGAGGAGTTGCTTATTTTTCTTCTTTCTTTTTCAGGTATCACAATAAATTATATACATATCTGTATTATGGAGATGATGTAATCCACCAAGGGGCAGGGAATACTTAACCAAAATCTTCATTGAGCAGGGAGTAAATCTGTCCCTGCTAAGTGCTCTTTATTGAGATGGGGTTTATTACAAGACTGTTTCATCAGTGTCTATAAGTTCTACCTTCCAGGGCATTTTTTACTTGTGAAGAGCTAAAAATAAAATGACAGCAGCAGGTTTGTGCTTGCCCTCACACCTACTGTCTTTAGTCGAGATAACCCACTCATTGTCTCTCGATGTGGGACCTAATTCCAAATGATTGTGCCTGGAACACAGTCTAAGCACCTTTGTGCTTGTTCTCCCCCATGCAAATTCTTTGCTCCACATTTCTTCTAGTGGAGTAGAGGATAACCCTTGTTTCTTCAATCCCAAATCACTGGGGGAGTCTATATGGAGAGTGCCTCATTGGGCAGTGCTATCCCATTAGTATGAGACTGAGTGAATGTACTACTAATTTTGGAAATTGGGCTGGGATGTTACCTAGTAGTGTGGTAAAGGACACCCCACAGTATTATGAATTAAGCCATTACCAATGTTTCCTCTAATTTTCTCAATCGAGGTGCGGAATGAATTTTTTCATGTGCACCAGTATCAAGGCAATGGGCACTACCAGTTTTTTTTTTTTTTGGGGGGGG